CTGTAGTGATATTACTGTAGTGATATTACTGTACAGTGATATTACTGTATATTTATTATATAAATACTAAAATAAACTACTACTTACTACTACTACCGGGACTACTTGCACAACTATTCCCTACTTTGTGGTTTTTCACTGATTGCGGGGACAGTATTGTTTGTATTTTAAATGAAACAGTGAAGCATTTGTAAATGCAGAACAGCTAAATGAACGGAAGTGGAGCACAAAATAAAAGACAAACACAAAAAGTTGAAGGACAGATTTAAAGGACAACGCTAAGTTTTGACAGATACAACAGCGGGAGGAAGTAAATGATTGGTTTATAAAGTACCAGAGGGATGGAGGGTTGGTGGGCAGAGGACAGGCAATCATGGGAGGCTGGTGGCTCGGCCCTTAATGGCCAGGACCCGACGAGGAAGACACGGGGTCAAGCCTGGCACATAGTTCCACAGTTTCACCCTGCAGTCACTGATGTCCACGGGAAAAGGAGGTGGAGGGAAAAAGACCAACAGGAAGGCAAAGGTAAGAGAAACGAGACAAAGTTTCAGAGTCCAAAAGGAGGAAATATTTTCCCACAGAAAGATTATGAGAAAGAGCAGGAGACGAGTGCACAGAAACAACAGCAAGGAAACGGCATGAGAGTACGTTAACGAGCTTCAGCGAAGCGCTACACGAGGAGGAGTAAGAAATTGAAATAGTCCAAGCAATTAAACAAAAACTTGACAAGAATCATCTTTATGTCATGCAGCTATAAATACAGGCTGCTGCGTGACATTTTCTCAGCAAATGAGACAAAATGTATTTCAATACAGAATAACTTGATTTCATAGAAAGAAATCCTTTCTTGTAAAGGACGGTTCATTTTATCTTATCTTATCTTATCTTATCTCAACTTTACCAGTATGAAATAATGGAAATGACATTAACAACTTAGTAAAAACTCTAACTTCTATAATATTCAGATAGGAACAGTGTTGTATTGAGTTCCGTTTACTTCAGAAGTTGAAACCTGGCTCTGGAAATGTCCCACATAAATTAAATGGTAAATGGACTGTACTTATGTAGCACCTTTCTATCTGATCAAGACACTCAAAGCTCTTTACAATCTGTGCTCTCATGTACCCATCCATACAGCACTCTACTGGATCTCTACAAAGAATAATCAGAGCTTTATCACATTCATACACCGATGGGACACACATCAGAGGCAATGAGGGGTTCAGTGTCTTAAGGGACACCTTGACATGTGACTGCTGGTGGAATCGAACCACCAACTCTTGCACTGGAGGACGACTGCTCTAACCACTCAGCCACAGCCGCCCAAGCTGAAAGTCATAACCCCTGTAGGATTTACTAAATGTTGTCAATAACCAGGCTAACTAATAACAATTCAAGCCAACAACAATGTAGCAACAAGTTTTCTAATAGAGGTTTGAACTGAATTTGTAAGATACAAACTGACAAACGTGCAAACAAACATTCTACTACTGCAGCTACCACAGCTTTTCATGAACGTGCAGCCGTATTAGTTTGAGATGAGGACACGCGAGGAAGCTCTGACTGACTTGGGACTTAGACGGTCTGACTTTCGAGTACGTGTCATTCTAAACGCTGTCCACTCAGAAACCACTTGGTTCTAAAACCATTTTACTCGTTGCTCTCTAATCAGCGCAAATGTAAAACCAAAATAAATCAATAAAATGCTGTTTAGGGTAACTTTCCTAACTTACAGAACAGACGCAAGATGAAATGTTAGCTTATATGTGGTGGACAGGTGTAGGCCTTTACTTCATTAAACTTACCTGGATGCAGTGAAGATCTGTCTGGAGTTGGTGCATATGGCATTAATGGGGCTATCGTGACCTCTGACCTCTCCTATAGGTGTGAAGTTCTCCACGTTCCACACTTTGAGCATGCCGCCCCGACAGGCGCTCAGCAGCATGGGCCGGCCAGGGACGTAGGCCAGAGCGCACACCCAGTCCTTGTGAGCGTTGGGGATTTGCTGAGAAAAGCCAAAGCAGACGGAGAAACACGTCAAAGAGACGAAGAAAAGATCTGCCGCTGCCTTCCGCACATAAAATAATAATCCGGCTGCATGTGCGCGTTATCTGGGTTACTGCAACCTTTAAATAGCAACGGATAAACATACATGTTTTATTTTTAATGAACAGATATTATCATGAGGATAGCAGCTTATTCCTAGAGCGGAAAGTGCACTTTGTCGTTGCTAGGCAACATAAAAGTACAAGTTTTTTATCTCGACTGTTTTCAGATTCAGCGCCATAGTTATTCTTAGATCGAGCATCTATGTGCTGCGTTTTACAATGGCTTGAAAAGGACATTAGAAACTGAGCACGGCTGGTTTTATGTGAACCAGTCGTGTACGCATGAAGCTCATGAGGCAACAAAAGATGGGGGCCGATGAGGACTGTGGCCAATGTTTATTTGTAGGAATAAAAAGGGTCCACGTTTTACTCATCGTAAATTGAAGAGCGTAACCTAAACCCCAGAAGTAAATCCAATATGATGTAAAAATTTATTAATACATTTTAAACTTACTATTTCACTTTTATATTTAAAGGATAGTGACAAGAAAACACTTAAAAGCCAGAAGCAGTGAAGCTCACGGCTATTTATTTATATGTAGGACTAGCGTGAAGTCTTAAAGATTTATTTGATTCAAATAATAAAACAATTTATGGAGGTTGTTTGTGGGTAAATCTAACCTTCAAATCTTCATTTTTATTCCTACAGAGCCGCTTCAACCCCCTTTTTTTGTTGTTGTGTGTTGGAGAAAAGCACAAAGTTGACTGGAAATCACATCTTTTCAAACTCATTTTCATTAATTAAAACGGAAACTTCACAAAGGAGGAAACCGTCTTTGATAAATCCCTGGCGAGGGTTTAAGACGCCGCAACACAGTCAGCTCACCTGTCGTCGTTTTATTACAGAGGCAACATTCAAAGAGCAATTCAGATTTTATGAAGGGCTTTATGAAACTTTTATGGCTCCTGCAGTTTGAGTTTTCCTGTTGATTTATAGCTCAGTTCATCTCAGCCAACAGGGCTCCACGTTGATTCATCTGAGCTGTGAAACAAACAGGAAGACACATTTCACTCAACGATATTTATACACTTTTATCTTCCTATTCAGTAATTGCTGTTGCCACTTCCACTCATCATTTTTTTTTAGATTTCCTTTAATTCTAAAGAAAACAGTAAAGGTTTTTATTGTTCAGATTTAGTTAATTGTTGCCCTTAATAACCTACACACATTTTTCCACATTAGCATCTGACAGTTTTATGAATTTGAAAAACAAAAAAGCCAAAACACTATTTAGATAAGTGGATGATCAATTTCACTTTATACCGTATTTTACGCCGTAACCGTCGCTCCGCACTATGAGTCGCATCAGTCCATATTTGTCTACTAAAGCAGAAAAATCCATAAATATGTCATGTCGCCGTATAAGTCGCATCTATTATGCGCCACTGCTGACAATCAGGAAATGTGGGCCGGTGTTGTGCCACAAATCAATAGGCAGCCAAATGGCGTGCACAACAAGACTTTAACATGACATTAACAAGATGAACACCTGAAAACAATTATTTGTTTGCTCGAACTTATAATAAATGTGTGTTTCAGTCCAACGTTTGCTTAATGAATGCACTTTGACGGTCAAATCAGCTGCATTTCAAAAGCCGATACGCAGCAAACATTCAAGCACACATGGATGCAGTGTTTTATTTTAATATAATCTATCAAATGAAACTAGCATTCCTTGAAGAAATGTTTATCACCCACTGCCTCGAGTGTCAAAACCTTAAAGATCTTGCTCAGTCTGGTTGCACTAAAACCAGTCCAGTGGTTCATGACATATTTTGATAACAGACAAAAACATATACAGGAAATTATTGTGCATTTCACGGCAGCAGGAGACAACATCATCATAAAAAGATAAGAATGCGCCCATGGACATTTGCTACCTTTTTTTTTTTTTTTTTACATGTACTCGGGTTATAATTTGAATATTCAAATCAAATAATCAAATTGAAACATTCAAAGATTTTAATCTGTTTTTATATGAGCATCTTTTTATTCAGGATTATTATTGTCATTTTAATCACTGCTGTTTTTTATACATTAAGAAGCAAACCTATTTTAAAAATAAAAAGAAACGGACACAACGTTAAGGTTAATTAGCTCTCATGAACTCTCCAACAGCATTTGAATTGTCACAGTATCAAAAGCTTCAGACGGATTATCTTTCCTGTGAACGGACCTGTGGCTGCTGGTCATGCGATGCTGAGCTCAATTTTAAGGCTGAAAAGCAAATCTAGTTCCCTCATGGTTGTCAGTTTCAATTGCCATCAAATCACTCTCCTCATGTACTAAGCAGAGACATGCATTTTCTACTGACCTACTTTCCATTTTAGCATCATAATGTGCATACTTAAAACAGTGGAAAATGTGTAATTACTAAAATTCCCAGTCAGTCAGATTTGTAACTCAACGAGTGTTATTGAAAGAATATTCAGGTTGATGCATGTGGACATAGACGAGAGATTTTTGCTTGATTTTGCAGCGACTGATTTTGGCAAAACCTGCAAAAATAAAAAAAAACTTGAGTTTTTTAAGAAATCGATAACTCAGCCATACTTCAGAGTGCTGATATTGATGATAAAGTAAATGCCAGACGTGTTAAAGCAATTGTTGCCTTTGGTAAACTGAAGAATGTTTGGATCAGAAGAGGCATCACCCAAATAAATCAAAATCAAGGTCTAGGGGGCCGTAGTTCTTCTGACCACCCTCCTGTGTGGCATGTGACTCATGGACAGTCTACTAATGTCATGCAAGGAAGCCAGTCCACTTTCACACCTGCCTTAGAAAACTCCTTGGCATTAAATGGCAAGACAAGATCCCAGACACTGAGGTCCTCACACGTGTTAGCGTCTACACCATCGTGAAGCAGTCACAACTTTGCTGAACGGCAAGGGAAACGCTCCCCAGGAGACCAGAAAAAGCATTTTAAAGACGGGCTAAAAGCTTCAGCATCTGCACTGATACCTGTGAACAGACTGTGCAAGACAGAGGGAAATGACAAACATCTGTTCACAAGGGAGTAAAAAACTGACGCAAACAGGACAGATGCAGCTGAGCGGCGCAGTCGGGCAGTGAAGACCAGTGCAAACAAACTCACGTCAGCAGCTCCCGTTCCCTGTCCGTACTGCCACAGAACATTCCCAGCACAAACTGGCTCGACCAGCCACAGAGATCAACCCCAACCGCAGGATGACAAGTTGTCCTCATCGCTTCCGACGGACAAACACCATAACACACTTCGGAGCCAAATACACAGATACCGTACTTTTTGTTGTATAAATCGTGTTTTGTGCATAATTTACATGCCCTGCAACTTATAGGCAGAAGCAACGTAGTTATGGATTTCCCCCGTATTTATGAACCAATTTCTGGCTGAGATACGACCGTTTTCATTCATTCTGACTGAAAATACTGAACACTACCATTTTCAGCCACTAGATGGTAGCAGAGTAGTAAGGCATGCCATTGTATCATGTAATGGAGTTAAACTCAAAGCAGTCTGCTCCTCAGATAAATAATGTTAAATTATTATTTTTAAATATGAATGTTTCTGTTAGCTTATTCTATACATGAATATTTTTGTTCAGTGCCCTGAGACGACTTCTGTTGTGACTTGGCGCTTTATGAATAAACTGAATTGAATTAATATGTAAAAGTGGTTGATAATGACAAAATCGACTTGCCATAGACTGTCACCATCTTCTGCGCGTTCATGTTTCCGCGTATCTGCTTTTGAAATGAAGCTGATTCGACCGTCAAAGTAAATTTATGAAGCAAATGTTAGTCTGAGACACACCTTTACTATAATTTTGAGCAAACAAATAATTGTTTTTAAGTGTTAATCTTGTTAAATTCTTATTTTTAAATTTTTTTTTCTTCTCTGTTTTCCAGTGAAGACTTATAGGGCGGTGCGACGTGTCCGCCGGACAATACGGTATACTAAAGTGTCATCAATCAATCAATCAATCAAACTTTATTTATAGAGCCCTTTCCAGCAGCCAAAAGGTGCACAAAGTGCTGCACAGTACAGAAGTTAAAAACAAACAAGAATAAAAAAGATAAAAATAAAAAATCAGTCAGTTAAAAACAAAAACAATCAGGTCACAACATTATGAACCATCACAAACGGTTCCCATGTTAGTGACTTGAAATTAGGTGATTCTTGTAAAGCACAAATCAATTTTTCAGGCCTGGAAAAGTGGAAGAACAAAACGCAACAGGCACCGCCAACAACACCGTTACACCTTCTTTGCAACACCTCAACAGGAACAACAGTTACATAAGCTCTTCAATGAGCTGGCAAAAATATATCCACAATTAAAATTGTTTTAGGAAACTATATAAAGATAAGCACCATGCCGAAAACGACTAAACTACAGTGCACAGTAATTATAAGCATATTGCTTCACATGTCCCTCAAGGACAAACAGAAGTGAGGTTGAATTTTATTGTGGTGGTCAGAGCACAGTCCCCCCCAGCTTTAATCTGGAGGAGTTTTGAGTCTACTGTAATATATTCTATTACACCCAAAGCCACAATTTGCTCCCATTACATAATTATACGGAGACCACTGAGCTGGAGAAACTGTAAAATAGATCATGCTGGCTGCTCCACAAATGTGGTTAAGGTCAGATGCCGCAGTCCACAGCAAAGACTGAGCTGATTTAATTCCAGCTTTGAAAAGAGATAATTACGTCCCGTGTTCTCGTTTTGTCTGTTCCGATAAACAAATGCCGAACAGAAGTTATGCAAAACAAGCTGAGAAAGTACCGGGAATGTAAATGAGTGAGCTGCGAACGCCCACGAGCCGGATTATTATGTATTATTAACATATGCAGGCAAACGAGGATGTACGGGACACAGCGCAGTACACAACACAATGAGTTTCTTCACAGGTACCTGCAACTGAGGTGAGACTGGGCTCCAACGATCTGCTGCTTCCTGTCACAATACACATGACAACACACAGCGGAGTCCCTCCACAGCGCAGGCACTCTGGGTAAAGAAGGCACGGAGGAGCGCTCAGGTGGCAGGAAGCTGCACACCAGCAGAGCAGACAAGCAGCAGCACCTTTCCTTGTCATCACTGAGCCAGTTTTAGATCAGGAGGAAAACACCACCTCCACCAGTGTCAGCAAAGAGAGCGTGTGTATGACCTAGACTGCAATCTGCAACATCTGGATTTAAGACAGATCCTGGTTGAGCAACGCTCAAGAAAATACCAGGTGTTCCTCTCGTCTCTCATTCAGTTACCTTTTTCACAATAAGACTAACCGGTAGTTGGTCTGACAGAATTTTAGCTTCGTCTGGTTTATTGATTATTTAACAAGGGCTGTTCTGACAAACCAATCAGAAGCAGGAGTCGTAAACCACCGTGCAGCAGCTTAAAGTATTATATATATATATATATATATATTTAATATAAGCAAAAGAGGCTGAAAGATTTTAAAAAATTCAA